CGGGGCCGGGCGGGGCGCGCTCAGGCGCGTCTGCTCGCGCTCCCCGGGCTGCAGAGCCCAACCCGAAGCCGTTCTCCATCCGCACCCATCTCCTCCCCAGCGGCCGTCTCACTCGCTTCCCTCGAGGGTCGGAGGGGCTTGAACACCCGTTTTAGAGCTGGGCAAACTGAGACCTTCTCTGTACACAGGCTCCGGAGTGGATCTCCCAGCGCTTGGTCTAGGCTCAGGAGAGCGTCAAGCGCTCCCCAGACGTCGGTCTGGCCTGGCTTTGACGGTGGTGGAAACCCTCTCCTTCATTAAATTTAGGGGCTTCCGGGGTGGGGCAGCGCCCTCCTCTTCCTCAGACAAAATCCTACACACACACTCTTCCCCATCTCCCTGGGAAGAGTATTGGGGGTTCACTAGAACCCAGAAGAAGCTAAGCAAGCGCCCTGCATTTGCATGGAAAAACCCTAAACCCCTCCTATTTTCGTCAAGCTCCCCCAGAAGAATATGAGCGCACCAACTCCATCCCCAGAAGAGTGGGATGCCTTCCAGCCCCATCCCATCTGCGCCTGGACAGGTGTAGGAAGGGGGAGGATGGGAATGCTCTGCCCAAGACTTCCCGTCGTTTCTTTTTTAGAAGTAGAGTGGGTGGAGTGGGATGGGGATGTCCTGAAATAATCCTCTTGGGGAAAACGGAGGGCTGAGGGAAATGATTTTTTAATTAGTAAACACCCCCCCCCCCCACTCCCTCCTGAGGCCTGACCTCAGAGGAGGTGTAGGGGGTGGGCTCTCTGGAGAATGCTCGCCTCTGTCTACACCTGTGCCTTGGATTTTATTTATGTTAGCCTACCTTATCTCAGCGAGAGAAATTGGTGGCAATCACCTTCCATAAAGATGTACAGCTTGGAGAACGATCTGGGGGCAGCACCCCTCTGTTCTTTAGGGTCTCTGTGAGGCATGCTGGATAGTGGGCCCTATTCTGGAGAGGATAGAAGGAGGAATGGGGGCGGTGAGTTATTTATGGTGAGGTGATTCCCCCCCGCCCCTTACTCTTCTATAAAAGTGTAACCTTACAGTGAAATTCAGGAAAGGAACATTTATGTCTGTTTATACCTGTGTGGGGGTAGTGGTGAAATCCTCACCTTCCCCAAAGGCGTGTAGTTAGTTAGTTGTGAGCTGCCCCGATTTCAGCAGAACTTTCAGGGCCAAAGGAGCCTGCAGAGAAAGGCCTGGTGATTTACCACTGAAAACTGGCCAGTTTTGAGAGCCTCATAAATCAAACGGTCCAGTCCCAAGCCCACCAAGCGGGGCTCGGACCTGGTCGTGTTTCATTCTGTTGTGTGTGGAAGCGACTAAGAGCAACTCCTGTGTAATTTCCACTCCTATCAAGCTGTAGCATGTGCATCCAGCACCCTAGATGCTATGAAACGCCTCACTATACAGGCTTATTGCCACCGTGGGCCAAAGAGCTGACCTAGTACCATGACCTAGCTGGCACTTGTCTAGCTGGTACTTGTACAAACATGGTACTTCTGGTAAAAATGTGGAAGAATGTCAGGTGTCTGAGTTGGAGAAGTGAAGTCACAGAGGCCAGGCACGAGCCATTATGTTTATGAAGACTAACATGGTCAAAGCAATTACAGTCATTCTCTGCTGGCTGGTGGGGAGCAGGTACAGGGAGGAGCGGACTCCACCTCCAACCAGAAGTGACTGGCTGCAGGAAATTGTAAAAAGGCTGCAGTCAATAGAGGCGTCAGTAAAGAACATGACAAACAGGGGGAAATACGGAACTGAATTCTAGACTTAAATGGATCTATTGAAAATGGAGAATCCCCTGAATCTACTTTTCAGAGAAATACTTCTACCCGTGAACTAGAAATATTCCCTGAAGCCATCTTTAAATGAAGTGACTGGCTAAATTGGAAAAGAATGTTTGCTGTGTGCATTGAATTAATCTGAAGAATTTTCTAGATGAGATCACATTGTTAACAGAAACTCTAAAACATAGGTGAGGAGGGCAGGGGCCAGTGAGGCTGAGTTCATGGTGGGGAGAGAGGAGGAACGGTGACGCAGGCACAACGTGTGCAGAGTAGAACCAATTGTACTTGTAGAAACTGACGAATAAGTGTATGTTCTGCTGCGTATAGTTTTATAAATTTTTTTTTTCTTTTTAAAGGGACAGGGTAAGCATTCATTGGTGAGGAGAGGGGAGAGGAACACCATCAGAGGTGGTCCCTTCCAGCTCCAAGATCTGTAGTTCTAGAATTCTGTGATTGTGACAGGCAGGGCTCAATCTAATGTTTCTTATTATCATTTCTTTATTTACTTTTTACTCTAAAAGATTAACTTGCTATTTGATGGGATAAGAAATACCTTATAGGCCCAAAGCTGTTGCTGTTGAATATGTAATTATGGTCACCTGTGGAGAGTCCGCAAAAGAGGAAGACCTCCAACAGGAGGGATGGACACATTGACTACAGCTATGGCTGTAAGTGTGTCAGAGATGGGGTTCAAGTCTGTTGTTCATAGGATCGCTGTTGACTTGACAGCACTTAACAACAACGACTGATTAGGGAGCTCTGGTGGCCTGGTGGGTAAGAACTTCAACCCAGTCCAGAGGCAGGTGGTTTGAATCCACCAGCTCCTCCAAGAAAGATGGCTACTTCCTTCCATGTGATTTACAGCCTCTGAAAACCCACTGAAGGGTCAACTATGGGTCGGTTTCAACTCTACAGTACACAACAATAATATCATAATTCCAGTATGTCATGAAGCAAAATGGCAGTGGTAATGACATATTGTTGTTGTGCAGGGGAGGTTGTGTCATCTGTATAACACAGGTTATTGACGAGTCTCCCTCCAATCCTGATGCCACATTCCTCTTCATTAAGTCCAGCTTCTTGGATAATTTGATCAACATATAGATTGAACATATCTCGAGATAGAATACATCTCTTGACACACTCCCTTCCCAATTCCAAACCATGCAGTCTCCCCTGCTCTGATCACACAAACAATAGCCTTCCTGCTCCAGATATAGGTTCCTCGTGAGTACAATTAAATGTTCTGGGATTCCCATTCTTCTCACTGTCAACCACAACTTGTCATGATCCACACAGTCAAACGCCTTTGCATAGTCAATAAAGCACAAATAGACATTCTTCTGGTATTCCTTATTTCAGCCAGAATCCATCTGACAACAGCAATGATATCCCTGGTGCCACAGCCTCTTCTAAATACTGCTTGAACTTCTGGCAGTTCCCTATGTATGTACTGTTCAGCTGTTTTTGAGTGATCTTCAGCAGTAGTCAGCGCCTATGGAAGGAGGTAAATCTATGTATTGGGTAAATCTCTTGCAAAAGACTTCTTTAAAGGGCTAAAGAGCAAAGATTTCACTTTGAGGACTAACTTGGGCGCACCTAACCAAGCCGTGGCTTTCTCCATCTCCACATGTGCATGTGAAAGCTGGACACTGAATAAAGAAGGCCCTCAAATTGATGCATCTGAATTATGGGGTTGGTTAAGAATGTTGAATATACCAGGGACTACAAGAAGACAGGGGTGGGGTGAGCATGGGAATCTGTCTACAAAGAAATCCAACTAGAATGTTCCTTGGAAGCAGGGCTGGTAAGGTTTTGTTTTACTTATATTGGACATGTTATTGAAAGGGGTCATTTTTAGATAAGGGTTTCATGCCTGGTAAAGTAGAAGGATTCAGTACAAATGAGGAGGACCCTCAATGAGCTGAACTGACCCAGTTTCTGCAACCAATCCAGGGCTCAAACCTAGATGAATGTGAGGCTGCTTATTGCCGTACAGGAGTTTCAGTGTCTGTGAACATGGGTATGTATGTACATTGAGACATTGATGTAAGCTGGGTTTCTGAAAAACGTTTGTTGTTACAACTAAGTACAGGGATATCTTTATAGTAAAGAATAAATTTCTTCTGAAACATTGAGCAAAAATTTGAGTCATTGTGGTGCCACCCCCTCTGACAATGTCACCTGTTGTGACCCCACTTCTCCCTACCCTTTTTCATCCCTTCACCCCCCCATCCTTATTCCTTCTCTCTTTCTCCTCTCTCAGAATTTAGTTGTCCATCTCATTCCAAGTTGACCTAGAGACACCCACCTTCCTCTTCAACCTTTTCAACGCTGGTTCCCATGGTGGGCAGGTGGGCCTGATGTCAGAGCTCCTGTCATTATTAAAACTCTTGGGCAGAGGTGACTGTAGAAGGCCACTGTGGTCCATGCACACCACCTGGGAGCTTGTTAAAATGCAGGCTCTGGGGCCTCACCTCACACCTACAGTCTCTGCATTTAAATAAGATCCCCAGTGACATGAAAGTCTTAGAAACACTAGTATAGGGGACCTTAAACTGGAACTCCAGATAATTCCTTGATCTTGAACAAAGTGACAGTCAAAAGTTATTGGGTTTCAGGCACTGAAAGGGTCTTGGGGATTGAAAGAGTGAAGGAAACGTGTGCAGCTGTCATTACCCATAATGGGACGTTTTGAGCTTCTGGAGGTGGGGGTGTGCTTAATCAACCTGGAAAGAACTGACTTCTGAGCTGGGTCCGGAGCGATGAGAATGTGAAAATGTTTTGCTTCTCCTCTTTCTCCATCTCTTTGACTGACTCCTGTTCTCCAACATAAAATGTTCACCTCCTCCAAGAACCTTTCTCTGAGAAATGTTATCAAACCCTCAGATTTCAGCATGGCCCTGATCCACAGCCTTCACAGAATTCAGCTGTTACAGTGTGGACTCTTTATCTCCAATCTACTCCCACCCCCCACCCCTCACTGCCTGCAGCCAGTTAAACCAGAGTA